TACAATCTAATAAATTATTAGATTTCAAATGAAGAACATTTAAACCTCTCAATAGCACTAAAATGTATTTTTTCGTAAGAATGTTGTTTTCTCATAAAAGAAGCAAAAAAGAATTACCTATAACAAACTATATGCCTGACAGGGAGGAAGACCAGGCATTTTCTTTACCATCAGTGGGAATGTAAATCGGTATAACCATTTAGATGACAATAAAAAATTTGAACTATATGTGCCCCTTGATCTAGCAGATACATTTGCACAAAAAATTTCAAGATATATTTATTTATTCACTCTGCAAAATCCTGGGAATGTACCACTAAATGAAACAGACATGTTTCCTCACTGACAGAGCTCACAGTCAGCTCACTGACAGATGGAGAAGGGCAATATAAGCAATCCAACTTACACAAGGTACTTAGCCCCTACAGAAAATAAATTGAGATGACTGATTTTAAAAAATGGTGGTGAGAATGCCCAAGTGTGGGGAGTAGGGAGAAGGTTGTATAAGTTACCACTTGATGAATAAGGAGCCAGTTAGGAAGAAAGGAGAAAAACTAGGTGAATACCTGAAGTTTAGAGCTTAGGGTTTTGGGAGAACAAAAGAAGGTGCATGTGAGAGGGAGGGATTGTGTGATGTGGTTGGGAAGAGAAATACGGACTAGATCAGGCTAGTTCCCTGTAAGTCATGACAGGCAGTTTTGATTCTGTTTCAAGTACACTGGAAGACACATCCTTTTAAAGAGAGCGCTCAAGTTGCTGAGTGAGGGGTGGATTGGGTGACAAGAGGGAAAGAAACAAGTAATAGTTCTTAGACCTATTACTGCCTGAGCTACATGAGAGATGTTAGGAATTTGACACATTTGGAAGCCCCGAGAAAGAGGAAACTAGTTGGATTCCACATATACTTTGTCAGTAGATCCCACATTGTCGATTTTATCTACAACAAACCACAAGAACCAAAGAAAAGCTTTTCTAAAGAAACACTTTCTTGAATGAGGTTCATTTGGAAAATTCTTCCTTCATGCTTTTTATTATCCTACAAAAATATTCCCACAAATAAGCAATTGCCTAATCAAACAAAGCCAAAGCAAAAACACAAAATAAAAACATCAACAAAACGATCCTGGTCCATGGCATGAGCAAACTTTTTAAAAATCTGCATTCACCCATATTTACCCTTCTGAAGTTGAGCTTGGATCAAATATATGATGAAAAGTACACAAATCTTTTTAAAGAAATAATTCCAGGAATCACAGGAGGATGATGAACATATCATCTAATAGAAAATTGTATTAACAGCTCTATTTTCACTAATTACTAAAGGTACACTGTTCTCTACAGATGTACAGTAATTACATTCTGACATTTTTGGATGCCTTCAGGTGATGATCCTAATGGAAGAGGTGTATGATTTCCACTACCTTGAATAACAAAAAAAGATGGATCACAACTTCTGTAGGCTATTTCAGGGTCTATGTATAATTTTATTAGTACATGATTTGTGGAACAAATGCCTTAATTCATGAATTTGTTAACATCTAAAAACAATTAAATATCAAAAGTCGTAATGTCTGACATATAAGACACATTAAATATGTTTCCAGTCAAAACAAATGAAAACCAGTGAAGGCTTGCCAGTGAAGATGAAGTCTCATTAAAATTCTCTACTTGATGAATAACAGAATTCCTCCAGATAATGAGCACTAGAAACATCATGGAAACCTCTGAAGGCACTGCACACTTGAATAAATATTCATTTTTACTGCTTCACATGGATGCCATGGTTTAGTTTTCAGTAAATTGAGGCGTGATTTCTTTAGTTTTTAAATGTGTGATGTGTTAATCTACTGTCCAGCTGTTATATTTTCAATACTGTGCATCAGTTGAAGTACAATATATACATACAATGAAGGTCTCTTTTGATCATTATGTTTATTGTTGTTATGATCCTCATTTTTATTTCAGCCCTTTAAGTAAGAGGCAGTTTCAAGTTGGGCTTAGGTATCCAAAGCCCTTATCCACAGTGTAATAACATAATCACTTAACAGAAACCACTGGGAAAATCCTCCCTTCTTTCCTTCTCACAAACATAAACTAAACAGCAAGTGAAAACACTGCTTACTGCACGTGGTAAATGTACTCCCCAGCAGGGGTAACCTCCAGATTACCTTCCTATCATCATGTAAATGTGGCCCCAACACCAGAGTGCTTTATGACCCTACCAACATCCCCAATCCTCCAAAGAAAAGGAGTATTGGCTTAAACCACTACTGAGAGAACATAGAAGCATACAGAGAGCCCTGTCTGCCTGTGGAGTACACGATGGGATTTGCTGTTGCTTTCTACAATCCTCTTTGACTGGGACAAGTGAAGCCAGGCTATGTCAGACCAAGAACGGTATATTACTCTCCTACAAGAGTTCCCCACCTTTATATAGCACCCAACCAAGAATCCTTACATGTATTTCAAAACGCAGAAGTGAAATACCAGTTAAATCCTTAACTTGTGTTCAGCTAAGGAAAAAGTGGAATGATAATTAATATTTTGAAGCCCTAATTAATTAAAACTGTCAAAGAACTGGAGTTTTAGGAAGGGTAAATCAGAACAAAAGTAAGCCATATCTAGAATTTAGTCTACAATGCAACTTATGGGTATGCCTAGGAATATCATAATTCACTGCTATAATTTTTTTAAGTCTCTCTTATCTTTAGCACAATAATACTTCGAAGAATTGTAAGATATTAATTTATGAGAAAGGAAAGAATTGAAAGTTCATATATTTTTCTTTTCTTTCCTGACCCAAAGTTTAGAATATTACTCAAAAAGGCTTGCATACTCACATTATTTTTTAAATAATTTCATTTTTTAATTATAACACTAATACATTATCAAAACTATTAGAAAATATATACAGGCATAATGAAGAAAATAAATTAAACACATCCATAATGACCTTGTTCAAAAAATAAGTTCTAGTATATTATGGTGGTCCCTCTACGCTTTGCCCATGCATATATATTTCCTCTCATTATGTTATAAAAATAAAGCCCCAATATGCATCCATATAAACCCAAAATTATCACCACTATCAAAGAAATTTAATACTAAATTCAGAAAGTAACCAACATTTTGACCACTGTATTCTATATTATACAAATCACTAATAAATTTAGTAATGCTTATCCAGCTTCTATCCTCTTGTATTTGTTAACTAGTCCAATCACAGAAAAACCACTCCCTAATTCAGAAAAGACTTCCCTACGCTTCAGTCTTTCCACATTGAAAAATTTCAGTAGTTGTTCATTTTCTGATTCTAATCAAAAAGTGCATAAAATAAGCATCATACAATTTAGAGGGAACTCCAAAAAGAACAATAAACTCGATCTGTAGAAATTTTCTTTCCAAATGAAAGCAGATTTAAAAGATTTACTAATTTCTCTGTTGGAGTCAACATCCATCAGATTTGTCACAGATACTATTTAAGATATATTGTGTCAACCAGGGGTCATTAAACATTTTCTGAAAGTAAATAAATAAAACAAGTGTTTTCTATCAGTTAGTAAATATTTTTGGCTTTGCAACCATACAATATCTGTCCAACTACTCAGCTCTGCTCAACTTTCTCTTGTATCACAAAAGCAGCCACTCACAAATGGTACATACAATGGGCATGTCTGTATTCCAATAAAACTTTATTTACAAAAACCTTATCACAAAATCAAGATTTTTCTGGAGATGGGTGGTGGTGATGGTTGCGCATCAGTGTGAATGCATTTAATGCCACTCAGCTGTACACTTAAAATAGTTAAAATAGTAAATTGTGTTACGTGCATTTTACCACAATTAAAAACAGACACACACACACACACACACACACACACACACACACACACACACACAGAACCCATAAGATTTTGCCTATGTGCTATTCTTTTCCAACTCCTGGACTACAAAATCACTTCTGCCTAAAATATTCTGTGATTAAAAGGTTTCCCTGAAACTAAAATCTTCCAAAATCTGCTGCGTAAATACTTACAAAGATAAAATTGCTCGTCTACCAAAACTTTCTTTAAACATTATAGAACATTTGAAAGTGTTTTTAATTCTGGTGTTATGAGGAAACAGAAATGGCGTTAACAGTTTTTCCCCTATCACCTAACTGGGTTGGAATCCACATGTTTAGAAGCGCACAAGCATACAACAGCGAGCGCGTTGACAGCCTGGGGAAAACGTCTTGAGTAGTTAAAAGTGCAGAAAGATAACCCACTTCACTAGGCAAACCATCTTTAAAAAAAAAAAAAAACTTATAAATGAAAAAAATATAATAGGAAAGATGGTATCTGGTTGTTATCAGAGATTTGATTTTGCAATGCATTGTTTATGTATTTCAAATATCCAAGGCACCATAAAACTATTTACTCCAATTTTATTTCTAATTGTTTTCATTCAAAATCTGCATTAATAGTTGCTTGCTGTGGTGATTTTTCTTCTTCAGATTTGTAGTTATTTTCAATAAAATATATTGTTACTTAACACCTACATTGGCTTAACTTTAGATCTTTCCACATATACACAGGCTAAAAATATATGCTCTCCTCTCAGGTTTTGGGGGATTTTGTATGTTGTGTTTTGCCTTTCAGTTTCATTTGTAACCCTCAGAAGAAGCCAACCGGATTTTTTTTTTTTCAGGGTAGCCAGGGCTAGCTTTTGCATTTCCACACCATGATTAATTTATTATTCATTTGATGCCTTCCTATTAAACGTTGTCTTTAGCCTGTGAGCTCTTCTTTCAGCTTCCAACAAAGGATTTCATTGCTTCAGGAATTGAGGTGTGTCTAAGTTTTCACCTGAGAGAAAAGTGATTCAAGCGTTTCTGGTGAGACCAATCCTTGGCTTAGGGTGGGGAGGAACCACATAACAGGCCTTCTGTAGTCTCTGAAGACAGCAGAGACCTACGCAGCCAGCCGAGTGGAAGGACTGAAGCAGCAGCTCCTCAGGATTTGCTCACCAGGGAACTCAGAGACAATGACTTGGTTCCTGTTCAGAACCACAAGGGTTCTGGCCATTTTAATGGTAAGTCCTATTTTTTTTTTTTCCTAATAATCGCAAACTTTCCCTATTCTCTCTTTGTTAGCGAATATAATATTTGATCATTGATTCCCAATTATAAATTCTAAAAAGAGTACAGTGGCAATAAACATTTTTAAATGAAATTGTAAAATTACCAATTTCTTCTTTTTGTTGTTTTTTTAATGTTGTATTTTACATAGAAAAAAAACCAGGGAGAAATAAATTTGAAAGTCACTATTTAGCATTTCTTTAGTTAACAAATCAAGTAACCCTGATCTCAGTTATATTTTCCACAACACCTTTTTCACTTTCTTTAAAGTAAAGTTTTTATTCACCTTTCTAATACACAAGCTAAAACACATAAATGAGAACCAGGTCCAAGGTTACATATCTGTTAAGCATATGGTTAAGATTGTACATGCCTGGTCTTAATACCTAACATGTTTTTAAAATCATCAAGGAATGTTGAATTAAAATCAAAGCAATGTTTGACTCTAGAGAAGTTGCTAGGGTTGTTAACAAAACAGTGTGTATGTTTAGCTATCATGTACAAAACATCCAGCCTTTAGGGGGAAAATACATACAATATTTTGTAAGATACTTTTCTGGGAGAGTAACATTTCTGTTAGGAAGTACTCTTTTCATCTAAAAGAGAAGTGGAATCTGAAGAGCAAAAGCACTAGCCTGGATGTTACAGACCAGTTAGTTCCTTGACGGTGTTATTTTAGTGAAGAAAAAAATATTTCACAATATTATTAGTTACATAAAGATATCAAAATAGTGAAATAGATCATAAATTAATATTTTTTAAAAATCACCAATACTAATTCTCCACTTTATCAATAATAAGCTGGGTTAGTCTAGGCATCAGTTTCCTTCACATCCTCATCTATAAAATTGAGATAATTGGACTTCAAGAATTAGAAGGAGAGAGATCTCAAGAAAGAACTTTCTAAAAATTAAAGGTGTCTAAAATTAGAATAGGCTGCCTTGTGAGCCAGAGTAATTCCCAGCTTGCCCTCTCATGATGATGTTCAAGCAGAAAACTGGTATCGTCCACTCTGGTAGAGTCTGTGTCTATTATATCAATGTCACTATAGTTAACAATGTAGGAATTAGAGGCATTGCCCCCACACAGTCAAAAACCCATGTATAACTTTTGACTCCCCCACAACTTAACTACTAATAGCCTACGCTTGACCAGAAGCCTTAACAATAGCATAAACAGTCAATTAACACATATTTTGTATGTTATATATATTATATATATTTATTATATATGTTATATACATTATATGTATTAAAATGTGTCAATTAACACATATTTTATGTTACATATCTTATATTATATACTGTATGCTGTATATAATAAAGTAAGCTAGAGAAAAGAAAATGTTATTAAGAAAATTGTAAGGAAGAGAAAATACATTGACGGAATTTATTGAGGAAAAAAATCCACTTATAAATTGACCCATGCAATTTGATCCTATGTTGTTCAAGGGTCAAATGTAATTGCTTTGGTTGTATAATGTATTTATTCAATCCAAGAATACTGTAAAGAGAAATGTGACAGTTGTATGACTTTCCCACCTTTCCAGATGGTCATTTCTATACTAAACTGTAGATAAACTGCTAACTCATACATCCAAGCCAATGACCAACTTGGGACGCTGGGGGATATGATGCAGCAGGTGTTGGAATAGGGTTGTAATAAGAACAGAGAAATGGACTGCCACAAGCTTAGGGGAGCTCTTTCCC